CAGGAGGGCACTGTTTAAATGTAGGCCCCAGCATAAACGCCTGGTCCATCTCACCATATGCTTGTTACCCCTTCGTTATATACGGGTACTCTGAGGCCAGTCTCTTATAATTCTCCCAAATTCCACCAGTAATTCTCCTTGCTTCATAGACCTTTGTACATAAAATGGGAGGCCGATACATCCTTGACAAGAAAAATGGCCCATTAAAATGGGCTCCAGTTTCCAGAATGACTGACGTGCCAAGAGCAGGTGATCTACCCATGCACGCATTTTTTCTTTTTCTTTTTTCAATATGCAACAAGAGGCTCTCCTGTGGTCAGCTCGTGGGGGAGCACAGCTCAATCAGTCACAATTCCTCCATCAATGAAGCTTCCAGGCTCTGGAGGTGATTTGGTTTCCTGTTCATTGAGCCCAGGATATGTAGACAATTATGCTCCTGAGGCCTAACTGGAGCATGCTGGTTCCAAGCGTGCATAAGCTAGTGAGGCCTTAAAGAAAAGCCAAGCTTGTCTGCAACTCAGGTTCATGTGGCTGTGTCCACTGTCCAACGGGTAAAGCCCGTGTCAGCTGAGCTCACCCTTTGCATGTCAGCAGCTCCAGAAGCAAGTTGCATATTAGAGACTCATTACCTCGGTTTCTTTGCTTCTAGAGCCAACAGTAGGAATCATTAATGATGGGACTCCTGATTTATAGGGCCTTGCTGAAAAATATACAATATTTGTGTTTCTTCCCCCAATTCCCTCCCACTTTTATGAGTGCCATTAAGTTTAATTTCAGCATGTTAAGTAATTTGTGACTCACTGGAATGAAACTTAACTCAGTCCTCATAAAAACAGAATAAAATGGTATTTCCATGTTTCATGTTATGGTTTGAATCAGCCTGCTATTTGGAGCTTAGTGGAATCTACTCAAAATGCCATTTTGAAGCCTCTCCTCCCCTACCAACTAGTTACTATGTTCCTCAAAATTTCCCAGAATTCCTTCCTGCTACCTAAAAATAGCAAAATTTGTAGCTGAAGGGAACAGAGGGGAAGCTGGTAAGCAAAGTGTGGCCATATTTCTGTAAGCGGTGTCTTCCATACAGTGAGAATGATTTCTATCTTTTATCTACTGTAACTAGATAATTATATCAACGACTCTCTGCTCACTAGACCCATGAGATTTATTTTTGTTATGATTACTATTATTTTCTTTAACCAATTTTCCTTGTCTCACTCATTCATAAGTACCACAGGAATCCAGAGCATTCCATTTTGGCAATTACTGCAACTCGGCATAAATACTGTATTTGTATTTAATTCATGATCTAATTTAAGTATGTTCAATTTTATGATAAAATGTCATTAACTATGACTTATAATAATTTGGAGTTTTGTGAGAAATGATTTAAGAGTGGGCTACGGTTAATTGTTTATAGTATCTCTCTGAAGAAAGAGTACTGCTAGAGAAATGGCAGATGGTTTTTGACTTCCTTAAAAAAGAAAGCTGTTTCAGGGTTTTAATCTTGTGAGGTGCTTGCACCTGCCAGGATGGTGCTAGGACTGGTGGGCTACCTGGAGGCAGTGGGTCACCAGGGTGCATCCATCCAGAGGAGATGGCGCTTTGAGAACTGGTAGGTATGGCCTCCCCAGTGGCAGGGTGAGGCTCCTGAGGAGCATGAGACCACAAGAGAGCATCATGACAGGCACCATCATCTGCACTTCTGAGCTTTAGTGACTCTGCTTGGTTAGTGCCAGGCTCAGGGAAGGCGCCAATAAGTGCAATGATGATGACGTCGTGGAGGAGGCACTGGAGAGACACTGGGGGATGGCAGATGCCTGTGGGGATGGAGTGGCACTGGGGAATGGGAAGGCATGTGCCCCAGTGTCATTTCCATCACATCTGCAATGGACTGAATCCTTCTGTCCCCCCCAAATTCACCCACTGAACCCCTAATCCCAGTGTGATGGTATTTGGAAGTGGGGCCTTTGAGAAGTGATTAGGTCATGAGGGTGGAGCCCCCAGGAATGTGGTTAATGCCGTCATAAGAAGAGGCCAGAGAGCTAGCTAGTTTTTTTCCACCATGTGAGGAAATGACAAGAAGTCAGTAGCCCGCAGCCTGGAAGCAGTCCCTCACCACAACCCGCCCATGCTGGCACCCTGACCTTAGACTGCAAGCCTCCAGAATGCTGAGAAATAAATATCTGTTGCTCACAAGTCATCCAGTGTATGGTATTCTGCTATAGCAGCCTGAACTGACCGAGATAACACCCATGTGCAGAACAGGCTCAATGGTGCCCCAATGACCACAGACCTAAGGCTATTCAAAGGCCTTGAATGGCATCTCATCCTTGTTCTGTTGACTAAAGGACTGCAGGTGTCGCTGGCGGGGAAGACTTGCCAGTTGAAAAGGCTGTGATTGAAACCAAGGTCGTGGAAGGGGCCCATTGGCACAGATCACTTAGAGCTGAAGTTACATTCAGCCAGGAACACAGACCCCACTGGCTAGAGAATTTCAGGATTCTTAGGAATGCCTCCCTGTTGGCAAGAACACTGCACGAGAGGCTGGCACTGCCTTGGCTGGTGCTGCTCAAAAGGGTGTAAGAGCTCAGACTTGGGAAGTTGTTACCAAAGGAACGTTAAGTCATCAGGCTGCAATGCATACCCTCATGCAGGAAGGTCCGAGCATGTGTGCAATTTAGGAAGGACACCAACCCTGCATGTGGCTTTCTAGCAGGACTATGTAAGTTGTCAGCAACACTGCATCTCAGTAATAATAAGAGTTTTGTTCGCACTGCCTGGGGACAGGGACGTAAACATCCTTTGCTATAAGGAAGCAGCCCTGAGGGCCCAGCTCAGCCACTTGTCACTGCCATGACTCTGGGCACCAAGTGTTTATCACCCACACTTATCTGTATTTGATAACAAAGCCCAGCAGTGTCACAGGAGTCTGCATCTTGTCAAGCTTCTCCTTGAAAAATCCCAGTTTGAGACTGGTTTGGACTCTGCAGGGGAAAAATCCACTCGGGTTGAAATGGTAGAAGTTGCCTTGTGTCTCTGTCTTCCAGCCTTTCTTCCTTTCATTCTGTCTGTCACTCACCCACCGACACCACTGCTGGCACCTGCAGTAGCATGGGGCAAGCAGAGCATGGAGCAGAGTGCTGCCCTGTGGGCCACTGGCGGAGGCTTCGAGGCTGGTGTCAGGTACAGCCACACAAAGTGAGGATGACAGTGTCTTTCCCCCATGACCCCAGAGCTCTACACTTCCTCCAAACATTTTTAAGACTTCCCTCACTTAGCATTAGAGACAGGTGTGAACTTGGGAAGGTGTGGGTCCTCAAGCATCAAAGGCCCCGTGGCTTCTGGAAAGCAGCTTCTCTTCCTGATAACATCAGGAGGCCCCCCATGGCCCGTGGCGAGTGGACCCCTTGCTCAGTCTCCTGCAGGGGCTGGTCAATAGAGCTGAACGAGGAAGTGCAAAATGCAGGGGAAAGATCTGGTTTTCCTTTCTGTGCCAGATGCATGGCAAGCCTGACACCGATTCACCTGCTCTGGGCTCCAACAGTGCTTGGTGGGCTCACCTGCTATGGACACGATTGAGGAAACGTGGCCACAACAATGACCAGAGCAGTGTCAGTGGCTCAGCAGGGAGGACTCCCTGGGTACGGCGGACTGAACATTTGTGTCCTTCCAAATTTATATGTTGAAATCCTACCCCCACAGTATGGTGTCAGGAGGTGGGGCCTTTGGGAGGTGATTAGGTCATGAGGGTGGAGCCCACAGGAATGGGATTAGAGCCCTTATAAAAGAGGCCCCAGAGAGCTGCCTTACCCTATCCAGCATGTGAGGACACAGTAAGAAGGCACCATCTATGAGGAACAAGACCTTGCCAGACACCAAGTCTGTTGATGCCTTGACCTTGGACTTCCAGCCTCCAGATCTGTGAGAAGTTTATTGTTTAGAAGCCACTCGGCCTATGGTATTTTTTGTTTGTTTGTTTTGTTTTTGTTTTTCTGACCGGTAAGGGGATTGCAGTCCTTGGCACAGTGTGGTCAGCACCACGCTCAGCCAGTGAGCGCGCCAGCCATCCCTATATAGGATCCGAACCCGGGGCCTCAGCACCACTAGTGCCGCACTCTCCCGAGTGAGCCACGGGGCCGGCCCTAGCCTATGGTATTTTTGTTATAGCAGGCCAAAAGGACTAAGACACTGGGGCTCTCTCACAACACGCTCAGACTGATCTGAGTCATCAGGAAATACGGCACCAGGAAGCCATGCTCCTCCTGGCACTGAAAATACTCAGCCTCCCCCTGCGTTCCAGCTGCTGCACCCCATCCAGAAGATGCTCATTCCAATGGACAAACAGGGGCACAGGGACCCCTCTGCTACCCCAGGCCAGAAGCACTGCCCGAGGGCACAGGCCCTCAGCTCAGGCAGATTTAATGCAGGTGGAGGGTGAGCTTGCTCCCTCCCTCCCTCTCTTCCTCCCCCCCTTGTCTTTTTGTCTTCTTAAATGACATTTATCACGGTTCTAATGAGTCATGGACACCCGGCATTAGGACGGGTTTGGGGACTAAATTCGAGTGGGTGGAGTATTCCCCGAAAGCCAGGCATGTCTGTCTCCCTGTACCACCTGCACAGGCATCTGCTTGGCCCTACTCTATCTTCTGCAACTGAGCCGAGCACAGCTCGTATATACATCCTACCTGTCTACACATCTAGGTGTTCTACCTGGTCTTTGTGTGGTCATGACGTCTAAAACAATGGAAAAAGTTTGGAGAGATTACGCTGCTGCTGTTCTCTCAGCCATCCCAACCCCCTGTGGGCCTGCAGGTGGGCGCCAGGCTCAGCACTGCTGAGGGCAGGGCGGTGCACCAGGTGCCACTGGCTGTGGGAGGCAGCACAAGCGAGTGCCTTCCTGAGGCAACCCACTCCCCCAGGCCTCAGCCCCACCTCTGCACCCTTTGGGGAGAAGAAGCCTCCCTCCAAAGTCTCCCAAGGACACAAGAAAAGCCCGTTACCTGGCACCTGCCATGCACGCAGAGGTCAGTCTCGTAGGGCCCACAGGGCGTGCCATCCAGGACCCTGTCGGCCACCAGCAGTGGGGACTCTTTTCCGAGGGGCGAGCAGTAGAGTTCACACGACTTATCTGAGGAGGGAAAGGTAGACAGACATTGGCGTGGGAAGGGGTGTGTCAGTTAAGCAGGGTGCAGGTACGTGTTGGCAGTGGGCAAGCTGAAGGGAAGACAGGTTGGTACAGGTAAGTAAAGGTCACAGCCGCTTAGTGCATGTCCTCAGGTACGTGCACCTGCTCCTTTGAACACCAGCTATAGCAAATGGCAAAAGACCCTCAGACTCGGGTGACAGCACGGGTAAGAGCTCTATGGGGTTTCCTTCTTGTCCTCTGTATCCTTTGCAAAGACACAGCATTTCCTTTCCAAGGCATTAAACATGCCAACCAAGCTGAACAACAGTATGTTTGTGTGCTAACCTCTATGTAAGATGCACACGTGTCAAGGGTGAGCCCAGGAGCCCCTCCACAACGGGACAGCAAAGGGGAGGAAGGGGAACAAGGACACCGCAGTGCAGGGGGAGCGGGCCCATGAGGTCTCCACGGCAGTGGCTTTGCTAAAAGCTTTAGTGCTCCCCCAGCTCCTGGGCAACAACCACAGAGCTGTGCCACGGGACACAAAGGCCCTAGAAGAAACTGAGCAGGAGTAAGGTACAGAAAGGAGACACAGGGGCTGCCAGGACAACTTGAAAGAGCTGTGTCACCAGGCAGGATGGAAATCCCAGTTTCTACTGCTCCTGGAACCACATGAGGTCCCAGAACATACCAAGCTCCTGTGCCTTTGCCTGGGCTTTTCCCTCTGCCTAGACATTCTTCCTGGCACTTGGCCTTCTAGAAGGCTCCTATTCTCCTGGTGGCTGTCCCCTTCTCACACTGCCTTTGACATGGGGTCACATAGGCATCTCCATGTGCACTTTGCACAGGTCTCCAGTAAAGCCCTCAGCCATTAGGCTGTTGTCCTATAAATTGTTTGAGCAACTCCCATATATGAAGGGATTTATCATAAGGTAGGTCCCACTGTTAAAAGAGTGTGAAAGGGATGAATTTTATTTACCTTCAGACAGAAGCCCTGATGGGAGTGGGAGCCCTCAGAAGACAGGGAACCATGCTTTCATCTTTTGTCCCCAGACTGGGTCCAGGACCTCGTTTACAGAAGGACTCAGCAACAGTTTTTGAACAAATGAATGGATTTTGTTCTTCTGTAAGTAAAGGAGCAAGAGGAATGGACTTTTCTCTCTTTCTCTCAGTCACCTATCACTAATGCCATTTATGTGATTACTTTGCAAAGGGAAGGAACCTCTAAGTCAAACACCTTCATGCTGCCTTGCCAGGCCCTGTGACTTTACCACCAGCCTTCCCAGGAGGTCCTTCCAGTGGTCTCGGGCAAGCATGGGCAGGAACAGAGAAAGCCGCCTTGGCCTTGGAGGACCTCAGCATCTCAGCAGGAGAGTTTCTGTCGGAGCAGATGTGCTGTCTCACCCAGCCTCTGGGGCTTTGGTAACTGAATGACATTCGCTAAGCCACCACTGGGTTCGGTAGCTTTTTCCACAGCTCCTCTCCCATGGAGTGCTGCCGGTCGACACACTCGCTGGGAAATCTCATCTTAGAGCACTAGAAAGCAGCTGCAGGCGTGTGCTGGGACTGCTGCTCTCAAGAGTAGACTGGAGGTCACTAGCTTCCTGATACGCAATGTCATGATGCTTCAACACTTGTCACTCAGCAAGCACGGGCCGAGCCCACCCTCATGAGGCACTCTGTGGCCCGCTGGGGAAGAAAGATAGGTAATGTGTGCTGTTCGGGGACCCTGTGGTCTCATGGACGAGTGCCCAGCAAACCTTGAATGAGGCAAAAAGTGACGAGTCCCATGAGACGGATCTGATATGAGCTGTCGGAGGACGGGGTGTAACCTGGGAGGAATGACTCATTTCCCATGCTGGCAGGCTGGGGGTGGCTGTCCCTTCATTTAAGGGAGTGACCTAAGGAGGTGGCTGGTGGAAGTGAAATGATGGAAGATGGAGACATCAGCTGAGATCAGCTCTGGGAGGCTCATGGGATGAGATTACTAAAGTGCTCTCTGGAGCCCTGAGGTTCCCTGTGAGCATCTTGGGGAGCCGGTGGGGGAGATGCAGCAACACAGCCCCTGCTCTGAACGGATCGGTGTGTCTACTGCACATGCTGGGCTGCCTCTAATATCTCATTCACAGAAAGGGTCCCTTGGCTGAGGCAGTTTGAAACTGGATTTTAACTCCTTGTAGACTGAAGTGCTAACTTAATCCTGGGAGTAAATGCACTTTGAGATGATTTGTTTAACAGCAGCAAAAGTGACCATGATGAAATCATAAATAATACTAATCATCCACCTGTGCCAGGTAGCATGCTAAGCAGTGTCTACGCACTTCACGTGGTGCTGTCATCGGTCCATGCTACACGCCGGCACAGGGGCTCACAGAGTGTGTGTGCCTCAGAGTTCCTCAGCTGGCAGGACCATGCCCTGGCCTCTCTGCTCCTGCCTGGTTCTCTTTCCACCATCACTGTCCACTCTCTGAATGGAGAACTCCTACGGCCCAAAACACCAAGGGGCAAAAGAGCTTTGCTGAAAACAAACCACCAGTTTCATGGGTGTTTCTGGCTTCTGAGAGTATACTCTGACTAGAGCAGAAATGGAAGTGGGATTTGGGTAGAAAAGTAGAGGTTGTTTTGAGGTAATTTAGAAAGACCAGCCTGGGAAGGGATGAAGATAGTTTATCTGGGCTCTTCAGTGTGAGCATCAGAGAAATGGAGATTCCAAAGCAGGGGGTGCCAACCTCAGATAAAGGGATACTGGCCATGACCGTACCTTCAACTCTACCTGCACTTGACCCTCCCATCTGTAGACACTGCCCTCCATGGCTTGGGCAGCCTGGGGGCACTCGAGCACCAGAACAGAGCCCAAGGGAGGGGCTTCCTTCCTCTGCTTAGCCAGACCTCTCTATCTGTCCGTCTCCTCTGAGGACTCTGCTCTGAATTCAGGGCATCCACACCTCTAGCAAGGTGTGGCACTATCTGCCAAAGGGACTGAGGATAACCTCTTAAAACATGCAAGGAGGCTCAGAGCTCCTTAAAATTCTCTGAATATCTCCTTCTAGCTGCCATGCGTGGGAAATTAATCTCCAAGATACGAGACCCCCAAAAATAACATGAGGTAGTGGGTTTCATCTTTGGGCACAGCATTAACACTCTTACATCCCTTATAGTACAGAATAGGTCAAATCATCTTGAGAGTTATCTCTCCTGCATGGCTGTGTGTGCTGAGATGAAATTCTGACTGAGGCTGGACTGGCTTCTTATTGGCCTGCCTGTCATCAGGACTTCTGCTTGGCTGGGGGAAGCCACAGACAGGGCAAAGGAGACGGGCCTGGAGGTGTGAGAACCACGTGACCACATCTGCTTGGTGGAGGCTTGGAGGACTGCTCCTGGTGCTCCACAGTGAAGAGCACACTTGCGGTTCTTAGCGCTTACGCTGCTCTCTCTGCCTGCAGTTAGTTACGAGGTCTTCCTATGGTGGAGACACCATTTAATTTTGAGACCATCACAAGTGCTCATTGAAGCTCTGCCTGACCCTCTGTGGGGGACACATCCTGAAAAGCCTGCTCAGGTCCCTGTCCCCAAAGCTGCCCACTGTGGCCTCATAGCCAGAACTCAGTTCACTGGGCTAGTAGCGGCCACCTGACCACAACTAGACCGATCATAGTCTCTCTCCCCACTACGACCTCATAACTAGTCCTGGGCAGCCTGGCCTCTGTTGACTGGATCAGCAGTGACCACCTGACCATAGCTGAACCAATCAGAGTCTCTCTCCTGGGAATTCAGTACAGGAATTCAGATACAGAGAGGTCTTCCTGCTCATGGCTGATGAATCCCAGAGAAGGCTACACTCCCTTATCTATAATGCAGAAATCCAAAAAGATCTGAAAATTGCACAATCTTACATTTGTGGCAAATACATTTGGCAGCAAAGCCTGTTTTGACTGACATGAGGCTCTGGGCAGCGTCAGTGTCCCCCTTAATGAGGTGTTCATAGGTTCTCTGGTAGTGTAATCCATGTGTCTGACTATGGGGTACTGGATCCCACTGCGGGAGGTGTTAATATTTGGTTAATGCACTGTTATTACCTTTCTGACACCTAAAATGCTTTGAATTTTGAATCATATCTGGCTGCAAAAGATTTGGATAAGGGATGTGGATTTTACGTAAGAGGCACTGTGGGCTGTCCTGTCAGCCTGCACATTGTGAGAAAATCTACAGCACGGGCAGGACGACGTGACTCCCAAATGTAAGCTGTGGAGGCCCTGGAGAGAAGGCTCTGGCATCTTCAGAGGTGGCCCCAACCCTCATCCAGGCCTTTGGGTCCTGTGAGATACTCTGCACTTGGTAACAACTTCCTTCTTTTTCATTAAGCAACTGCAGCCAGCTTGGCCAAGTTGGAGTCAGACAGCCCAAACCATCATACTCCTTGCCCCTTCAGAGGCTCAGACCTGGAGGGGGTTCTGCTGCGCCAGGGAGGAGGAGCTGGGAATGCACAGCCACGTCCAGACACGGCCTTCGCCAAGGCCTCCGACACTTCAGTGGGCACGTGGCCTGCTGGCCTGGGCAGAGAGGACTGAACTCTTGAAGGTTTCCACTTCAATGAGATTCCATGGGGAAAGCAGAAATGGGGTGGGTTTGGCAAGTGGCCATCCCAATGGGTTTCTGTCTAAAGGCTTTTCCACTTAGAAATATTTTCTAAGGAGAGTCTTTGTCTTCTTTTGGAGGTGGTATGGATTTGTGGTCCTGAGTTCTCCCTTGGAAAATCTACCCCTGCAAGAATTTTTTTTTTTTTTTTTTTTTTTTTAAAGAAAAAAATATATAGCTTCCCCTTTCTTGAACTGTGTGTCAATTGCCAAAGAATTCCGCAGCGATAGCAATGCTATGAATAGGGCAGTCATAATGGGCTTCAGAGGAGCCCAGAGCCCAACCACAGGAATCGCTCCTATCACGGCTGAGCTAGAATTGTGCCTTTTAGAAACTGAGTTTTGAGAGGAACACTTATAATCTGTATTCTCCCCCGGCCTTCTGAATTAGCCATTTATTATTTTGTTTTTATTCTTGTGAAATGCTCCTTTCAAAGCTGCTGGCTTCTGTTTATATTTGAGAGAGACACGAAACCAAATATACAAGAAGTCATGACAATTCCACCCCAGAGGAGGATGTGTGGAACTATTCTTGCAAAGCCCCAAACCCAGAGTCTCTCCTTCAAAGGCAAAATACTTCTCGCCCATTATCTGTCCTTAGATGGTTGCACTTTTCAGATCAAAGGTGCGGGCACTCTAGCTATAATTATTTACTACTCGGGCAAAAAGAAACAAAAAGCAGGTGGGAGAAAAGACACATTCTGAACTCAGTGAGTGCCCTCAGTGTCCTCACTGTGAGGCTTCTGGAAGGAGGATCTGGGCAGACCTGTCTTCACCGCTGTGATGATAAGGGAACTGAAGAGCTCAGCCATCCAAAAGTGGTCAGAAGGAAAACAAAAGTTTAATCTGGACTTGGAGAAATGTGTGGAAAAAGAGATATTTAAGAGGGATTTCTGCACTGAGTAAATGAGGCAGGAGCATTTAAAACTGAAGCAAGCAACTAAGGAAAGAATAACAACCTCGTGCACACAGCTGAGTGGAAATGGAGACGGGCTAGTCTGTCTCAGACCTGACCTCTTCCTGCTCCTGCAATTTGGGAGAGAACAGGAAAGAAGCCCAAAAGCGTCCTTATCTGGTGTTCTGGAGATGGCTGAAGGTTCGGAAACAGGGCTGCTTCTCATCAGAACTGGCCACTGTGCGATCCCGCTCCTGATTAGGGAATGTGCCCGACACAGCTGGACGCCTCTGGTCTCCTCCTGCATCCGATTAAAGGCTCGGCAGAGAGAGGCGAGGGCCCGTGTGCAAGCGCATGCCCCAGCTGCCCTCATCCTTTTTGGAGGGCGGGTCTCCTCTCCTCCTCATCTGTAGGGAAAGTTGAGGGTACAAAGGCTGTGTTTCTCTTGAATTCTGCTGGCTAAGTGACAGTGCAGCTACAATTACACAGCTCCCAAACGTGGTGTCCTTTTTAAAAAAGAAAAATATCCGAGGAGCTCCCCAGTACTTTAAAATGAGCCCACAGCTGAGTGGGTTGGTATTATCTACTACAATTCAGAACATCACACATAACTTTACATCAGCTCAAAGCCGATGAGTCAGGTTGCTGGGCTAAGATTGCGGATCTGAGGCCACTGTTCCCAGCGACGCCTGGGCCTACCCTCGCACAACTATGCACACATGAACTTGGAACAGCAGACCACAGAATGTAGCTTTCAAAGGTCCTTCCCATCACAGGGAAGAAACCTCAGACCTGGCACCAGAATGTCATTCTTCTGCAGAACACTTTAGAGGCTGTCTGAAAACCAGGCCCAGTTGCTTTACTTCCTCTTAAAGTGCCCTCACTCTACACCCACGATGTCATGCTTTCTGTCTTCCTCAAGTAGTGGTAGCCAGTTGAAAGCTGGTAACTTTCTGTGAGTCAAACTAAAACCTCTGGAACTGGGGTCAGCTCCTTCCCTTCCCTCTTGTCAGCCACAGAAGCTTAGACATGTCATGGGACCCATCAACTCTCATCTTCTGCAAAGCTTGTTTTGCATGTTATATGAGAGGATGTATGTAGAGCTAACTCATGCCTGGCACATGGTATGCCTGATAAATGGGACCATGCTGTTGTCATTACAATATGAAGTCTCATTTCCTGAAAAGAAACAGCTGTAGGTAGAAAAAACCCTGAAGGAGGCCCTGGGGTGTCCTCATCTACAATAAACAGACATCACAAATGTACACAGACATGCTACCCACCTAGCATTTTATCAGTCATTGGAAATGCTTGCAGCGACCCACTGGGGCAGATTTAGGAGAAAGCTCTTGGCAAGAAAATATGACCTGTGCTTTTTATCATCTTCCCCAAGTTGTAAACTCTTCTCAAAATTTTCCGATGCCCCAGGTCAAGGAGGAAGAGCCAATCCAAAATGAGCTGCAGGAAAGCACCCACACGACAGCGATCCCCCTGCTCCTGTAGCACCTCGCTCCTCTCGAAGTCTGTCCTGAGTCCCTAGCACCATGCGTGCCAGCACACCCACCTCACTGCAAATGGGGCAAATCTGGCCTGCTGCCTGCCTCCACTGCTGCTTTGGGGAGATCTCAGAGAGTTGGGTAGTTCAAGTTCAACCCCATGTTCATGAAGTGGGGCCACAGCTTCTTGGACAGATGATGGAACATCCTGTTGGATGGATTTGGGAGGGGTTACCCTGTGGATTTCCCTATGTGTGATTCTTGGGGGAGAGAGGCCACTGTGAAGGGACATGCCGTGTGCCTTTACCATCAACCACCACTGCTGTCAGCAGGCCCTTCTTCTTGCCACTCAGCCGGCCGTGCGCCTGGCACTGCTGGTCCCGGAAACTGGGCAGACCCTTGGGGCAGGGCAGGTTCTCGCAGACCGCATGCTCCACGCTGGCTCCCAGGCAGTGTGTGCCTCCAGGCCCAGGGCTGGAAGGAAGGAGAAGGCCTGCGTTAACCAGATGGGGCTGTGGAAACAGCAGCGGTGCTCCTATGTGGAGGAGAGGGCGGGGCAAGGTTTCCAAAGCAACCCCTTCTGCTCTTACAGACCACATCTCGGCAAGCCCAGAGCCACACTGACAGCATGTTTAACTGAGCCATCAGAGAAATGAATCCAAGAATGGTAAATCAAGATCATCTGGAAATAGGATACAGGGAGTATCAGTTCAGCAAGATCAAAAAATTGTGTCTTTCACGCGAACTTAAAATTTGGCCATGTGTAACACTGAAAACCCCAAGGGTAATTTTTAGGTAGGGAGTGTGTGTGTGTGTGTGTGTTTGATCTTCTCCTAGTTATACCTGGGAGGTCACTAAGTTTCAGGATAAGTAAATAAATACATTATAAGAAAAGAATCAGGATGATTAATTCACTTGCTCATGGGCTTTCGGTAGGGACCAGTTAGATCCCCACTGTCCCACCTTTACCTGGGCGTGAGGCCACACATGGTCAGGGCTGTGGTCTTGAGTCCTAGACTCTCTGTGCTTAGACTGGGGTTTTAAGCTGTTTGGAGACTCAGGCTGTGTTCACTGGCCAAGTACACGGGTGTGAGGGGCATCAGGACAGAGCAGCAGGACGGTGGCCTGCCCGGCCGAAGCGTGGCCCTGCCCCACGCTTCCACAGGGCCCCAGGCATCCTTGGAGGACTCTGACAGGGCAACCTCAGTGGTTCCGTTCTCCTCCACGATGCCAAGATCATCATGATGGAGTACGACTTCTCTCCCCGCCATACTTCCTAATGAAATTCAGCACATGAGAGAAAAGGACACAAACCACACTGTTCTGCTCCATGAGTTTTTACAAATTGCACACACCTGTTGGCAGGATCTCATTTTTGACACATTAACCACTTCATTATGAATATTTATTTCATTTTCTCCCTCGCTATTTTTCATGTAGAGGGCAAGGCTTTTCTGCGGTCATTGCTTTATGGGAGAGACAATGGCAGAAAGTGGTGGAAGTCTTCAGGCTTTTATGTCAGAAAAGTCTACACCAGGAGTCCACAAACTTTTTCTGTAAAGGACCAGATAGGGAATATTTTTGGTTTTATGGGCCTACAGTCCATGCTGACTACTCAATGCTGCTGCTGGAGCACAAAAGCAGCCAGAGATATGTGTGAAAGAATGGTGTGGCCATTCCAATAAAACTCTATTTGCAAAACCAGGTGGGGAGGGGTCTTTGATCTCCAGACCCTAGCTCTAGCTCTACAATTGGCATTGTCAGCAGGATTATACCACACTATGGAATGCAGTAAAAATAATTCTAAGAGGAAAGTTTATAGCAATAAATGCATACATTAAAAAAGAATAAAGAGGGCTGGCCCGGTGGTGCACTCGGTAGAGTGCTGCGCTTGGGAGCGCGGCGGCACTCCCAGCGAGGGTTCGGATTCCATATAGAGACCGGTCCACTCACTGGTTGAGCGCGGTGCGGGCGCGACACCAAG